GCATTAGGGCTATGATCTATTAGTGGCTGGTCATCTCTAACTTCTCTGAGATAACCTTCCTTCACCTATAAAATATAAACATAGAAAAGAGATCTCTATTTCTAATACATGATTAGGCTATAATTCTGTTATCGTGGCACTATAACTGACACATGTCCTCAATGCAGTTTTGCCCTACAGCTAAGAAACACAAGTAGATTCCAGCTTTTGTGTAATCCGTACAAGAGAACAAATAATAAAGAAAACATTATAAAATCATAGTAAAATATTTTATTGATAAATAAGAAGGAATTCATGTTACATCTGTTTAGAACATTAAGGTACTATCCCAGTTCTGTATTTATAGAGGAAGAACAACTTCCTTTTTCTATTTAATGAAATATTGGTGGGAAAAATACCCTCTGACCATCTTTTTCCTTTATTGTAGTGACAAGGAAAGCCATAAAATAATATTTTAAGAAATAGGTAAGATATAGGTGATATTTTAGACCTGCTTCTGGCCCTGTGGGTTGCTATACATTCTTAGATAAATGTAAAATAATGATTATGAGGCTAAATGGCAGGGGGGAGTATAGGGATAGTTCAAATCTTAAGAATTTCTTCCACATGTTAACCTGGTATGCTTTGCAAGGTATAGATAACATCAATGGTACAATTCCTGCAAGCAAACAGCAGGGTGCTTAGAGACTGGTTGTCATACTTCCTGCCCCTTTAATTTTGTTAAAAAGATAGACTAACACTTTCCCTAAGTAGATGATAGTCTTGTGTTCTAAAATGTAGTCCATGGGCCACCTGCCTGCATCAGCATTATTTGTGATACTTGTTAAAAATTTGTATTCCTAGCCTGCACCAGCGATCAACTGGATGAGTCCAAGGTGTCTGCATTGTTTAAATGTGAAAGTCCACGGCCAGCGTGGCTTTCGGGGTTCAAAGGCTTGGAGGAAGAGCTGACGCACGAATGACACACAAGACGAAATATTAATTTTTTAAAAAAATATATATTTTATTGATTTTTTACAGAGAGGAAGGGAGAGAGAGAGTCAGAAACATAGATGAGAGACAGAAACATCGATCGGCTGCCTCCTGCACACCCCCCACTGGGGATGTGCCCGCAACCAAGGTACATGCCCTTGACCGGAATCAAACCTGGGACCCTTGAGTCCGCAGGCCGACGCTCTATCCACTGAGCCAAACCGGCCATGGCAACAAAATATTAATTTTGATACCGGGGGAAACCAGAGAAAAACTCAACCATAGCAGTCAAGTTAGCCCTGAGTCTCCGTTCCCAGCTGCTTTTATTTACTAGAATACACAATTGCCTTTAGGAATGCAAACAGACATATCAATGGTAATGTTTACTAAACAGTAAGATTGTCAGGTTTGAGGGGAGTTTGCTTTAGGCCATTGAGTCAGCAGCAGGTAATAAAATGTAAATATTCACCCTGTGAATATCAAAAGGAGTCCTGGTCAGCCTTCTGCCAGACTCCTCACTTTTATATTAATTACTGTTGATCTTGGTTTCCAGCATTTAAATCCTCAGGTACAATTTACACATAAAAATGTCTGAGGATCACTATCTAGATTAAGAATTCACATGCTACTACATCAGATTAATGACACAGTGAAATTCAGATCCTGTATTTGCTAGTTTAATATCCAAAGCATGTGGAAACTATTTTTATGGCTTTAAAAGTATAAAATGTTTTAAAAAATCTGGAAAATTAAAAGGAGAAAACTAATTCCATAACACTCTTATTTGGGGAAATAAACATTTAATATTTGGTGAATATTTGGGTGAATTTCCTTCCAGTCACTGGATGTCATAATATGGATCATCACAGATTATGAAGGCAGGGGCCATGTTTGTACATTTGTCACTGTATCCCCAGGTCTTACTACAATGTCTGGTATAGGACGCACTCAAATATTATTGAATGAGCAAAGTTAATGAATGAATGAAACTAGTATCAAACTGTATATTTAGTTTGGGTCATATGGACACTTTTTATAAAAAGACTAGGGGCCCAGTGCATGAATTCGTGCACCTTGAAAGGAACTGTGGGCCATGAGGCTGCGGTAGGCAGAGGGACGGGTCTCAGCCCATCCTCCGTGCCCCCGCCTGGCCCCTCCCGTCATGGCCCCCGTCTGCGGGCAGCCCCGCTCCCGCCGCAGCTCCCACACGCTGACGATGCCGGCCCTGCTTACACCTGCTGATGGCAGAGAGTAACTGGGGACAGTGCCAGCAGCGGATGCGAGTGAGGCCAGCACCATCAGCAGGTGTGAGCGGTGGCTGCTGCCCCGATCGCCCCTAAGGAGCAGGGGGAGGTGGAGAAGCCCTCAGGGCCAGTCAGCGCAGGGAACCGCCACTTGCACCTGCTGATGGCGCTGAGCGATCAGGACCTGTGCTGGGCACTGGCAGCAGGTGCGAGCACCAGGCGACTACGGTGTGCGGGAGCAAAGAATTTTCAGTAACCACCAGAGGCTCATGCCCATGACAGCGACCAGCACCCACCTTGGTCTGGTGCCCTTGCTCACTTGCTCCACCATCCCACCCCAGCTGAGACCCGCCATGTTCCACATATGGCCCCTGGTGGTCAGCGCATGTCATAGCAACAGGTTGTTTGGTTGTTCCAGTTGTTCTGCCTTTCAGTCTATTTGCATATTAGCCTTTTATTGTATAGGATGCCAGCATTAAATAGAATATCACTTTCTGATTCCTACAGGCATCAGATCAATAACAATATCAATAACTCGTACTCTTGCACCAGAAGTTTTTCTAGTGTTTTACTCATGTTAATGTAATCCTAACAACAATATGTTGTGTGCCATTTTTGCCCCCATTTTATAGATCAGGAAACTGGAGCACAGAGAGGTTAAATAACTAATCCAATATCACAATGCCAGTATGTGGAAGGACTGGCTCCTGAGCTCACAGGTAGTGAGATTTTATAACAAATATCTACCTATTTGTGGTCTAAGGTTAACCATATGCACATGTTTAGCACTCTAACTATAGAAAACTCTAAATATTAGGTGATTATATGACAATTAAGACTTAGACATGCATAACCCATGGACACAGACAATAGAGTGCTGAAGGCCTGGGGTGAGGGTGGGCTGGAGGGGGTCAATGGGGCAAAAAGGGGACATATGTAATATTTTCAGCAATAGAGAACTATTTTAAAAAATAAAATAAATAAAAGTGTATTTTTATAAAAAGACAGACATGGCACCTTGTTTATTCACTCTGTTACTTTACAAAACTACAAATAACTCTGCATCACTTCAAGTGTGGAATACTCCGTTTATGTTGCAAGTTCCTCTGTGTACATCCAGATGTGATGTTCCCGCCACCAATAAACATGTCTACTTTGCTTGCATTTCAGTTTACCACACTGGCCACATAAAACAAATACACATTCTTAAGGAAAGGTCATGTAACACTCTTACTTTTCCCAACATCTTCTCCTTAGGTGACAAAAATCTATATATATAAAAGCCTAAGCAACTGATGGCTGAATGACCAGTCGCTATGACACCCACTGACCACCAAGGGGCAGATGCTCAACGCAGGAGATGCGCCCTGGTGGTCAGTGTGCTCCCACAGCGGGAGCGGGCTCAGCTGACCAACCCATCCCGGCGGCCCACCAGCCTGGTGGCAGCCACTCACTCCCTCAGTAGTCCTTCAGGTCCAATCTCTGGAGAACGGGCCAGGCACTGATGGACCAGTGCTGCCGGCCCTCCTTGTAAGTCGACCTCAGGCACTGCAGCTGCTTCCCCTCCCTAGACGCTCCACAAGGAAGAAAGGATATAAAAGCAGTCACCAGGTTGCTCCCCGACAACCGCACAAACATCGGTGGGACAGATCCGGATCCCGGGTGGCAAAGCATCCCACTGCCCACTCAGAGGGCCTATAGCATCCCGCCCCCCCCCTCAGGACCCCACCCATGCACGAATTCGTGAACCAGGCCTGTAGTAAATAAATCCTATATCATAAAAGCTAATATGCAAATTGTCCCCTTGACCAGGAGTTCGACCAGGAGTTTGACCAGGGGGTGGGGCCAGCTGGCCAACTGCCTGTGCCCCCCCTCGGGCCAGCCAGGCCCTATCAGCCCCGATTGGGTAGGGCCGGCAGGCCCCTACCTGTGCACAAATTCATGTACCAGGCCTTTAGTAAATAAATAAGCAAGAGAGAGAGAGAGAGAGAGAGAGAGAGAGAGAGAGAGAGAAGGAGAGGAAGGAAGGGAGGGAAGGAGGGAGAGGAAAGGAAGGAAGGAAGGATGGAAGGAAGGAAGGAATTTAAAGCCCAGGATCTAAAATCCCATACTCTCTGTTCACAAATATGTGGTAAAATAACCATTGGCGGCATTAGCCCCTGGAATCTGGAGGTAAGCGTAGTGCCAGAAACGGAATCTCCTGCTCAGACGTCACACTGCTGCCCTCATCCCTAAAGGAACCCGACTAATTCGTCTTTCTAAACCACCTACACCCGCAAATCTGCATGAGCAAGACCATTCTCCCTTGACCGTGAGCTTGAAAGGAGCCCAGCTAACAGCAGGACCAGTGCCCTGACGGTCTACATCTCCGTCCTCCCACTGCTCCCAGCAGGCATCGCAGCCTCCCAGGGAGCGGAGACAGGGGCAGCCGGCGGCTCCTCGCCCAGACTCTGAACGTGGAGCCCTCGAGCCCGAGCCCCGCGGGCGCCCGCTGAGCCTGCAAAGCACCGCCCGCCCGGCAGGGGGCGCCGCGGTCGAGCGGGAGAAGCCGGGCACCCGCGAGGGGGCGCGCGAGGCCAGCCCCGCCCCTCCCTAGCCCCCTCGCGAGGCGGCGGGCGAGGCCCCGGCAGGGGAGGTGGCGGAGACCGGCGGGCGCCCGAAACGCTCTGCGGCTCGGAGCGCCGCGCTGGAGTGGCGCGAGCCCGAGGGGGCGGGGAGGCGCGGGGGCGGCGTACGTGCACTGGATGTGGGTGTGGGTGGGTAGGGAGCGCGGCGCCCGGGAGCGCGGGCAGAGGACGCTGGCTACCCTGGACAGTGCATCGGCCGCCGGGGTCGCTGCGCCGCCGCCGCGGATCATGGTGAGTGGGGCCACGCGCCGCCACCGCCGCTCTTTCTTTCTTTCGCTCCCGGACCGACGCGCTAAGCGGGAAGGGGCCGAGCGGGTGGCCGTGCGG